ACAACCAAGTCAACCCATTTTGGTACATGGGGAATAACTTGAGAATCCGGTGGGCATATCTTCAGTTCTTGGGCTTGCTGGATACAGGAGAGACCCAATAGTTATCTCCAAGTTGACTCCCGTCGATAAAGTTTCTGAGTTGGGTTGTGGAGCTCGATATCTGGCCTAGTTGCGTAGCGGACTCCAAAACAAGTCCACCTAATTGTAAGATCAATAAATTCCAAGTGTAAACCTGTATTGATGTGAATCTAATTCTAGGTGCTTCTCTGTTGGACCAAGATTTCATAACAATCCGGTTTGTAGCTTATTTCCTCCCGGTCTGGTCGGAATTCTCCATTCAATGCGCGTATGTCCAATTTGGTTAAGCTCGAGATCACCTGTTTTGTAAGCTGGATAACTTCTTTATCAGAATCATGATTGGGCTGATTCAACTTTTCGTGAATCCTTAATAATTCAAGCTTCTGGAACAGGTTGATTTATTGCTTAACTCCTTCTGGTTGGCTAGATATTCTCTATCAAAGGCACATGTGTCCTGGTCGGACCTTTGGTGGCTGGAGTGGCATGTTTGGTGGAGCTCTGGTTGGTTTGATGACCACATCATACCCTTTCTCTTCAAAAAATTTTGTCCTTAAAACTTGTTCATAAGTTCCAGTGTTGTTATGTTAGTTCTGTTGGTCCTCTTCTGCTTGTTTGTTGTTGTCAATGGAAAGTGGAAGTGGTGGAGGCTCTTTTGGTGGATCAGGCAGTTCAGGCTCCTTGGGGAGAAAGTTAATAGATGTGCCCGTCTTTGGTGTTTCTTGTGGTGTACATTTTCGAATGGATCTTCTACCATAGCGCTCTCTGATCTCTTGTGGGAAATCATTGTGTAGGTAACTCCCATCCATAAGCAGCGTGAGCTCTTCCGAAGTGTTGATGGCTGGTTCATTGTGATATCAACTTCTTCTTCTATGTCTCACCATGTTACGGCTTCACCTTGTAATTGATTGATGAATATATATATAGTGTCTCAAATTCTGGTATCAAATGGTGAAAGAAATAACTATCCATCTTCAGCATCATATCCTTCTTGAATTTTTGTTTGTTTTAACATGAATCGACATAACGAAAATAACTCTATTTTAAAAAAAAAAAAAAATATTTAATAAAATAGCAAATAAAATTTAACAAAAGGTAAAGAAAACTTTTTTTAAAAAAGTTTTATAAAATAAATGAATAAAACAGAAAACTATTTTGTGTGTTTTTAAAAATAATTATGAAAATAAATTCAAACAAAGAAAACAAAATGAAAAAAAAACTTTTTTATACCAAAATGAAAACAAAAAAAAATACGGGGATAGGAGCTTTTTACTCTCTGATACCAATGATATAAGACTCAGAATCCACCAAAGTCTACACATGGGTTGCTGATCGATTCCACGACCAGCGGGGTTAGAGATAATATCCCAAGGGCTATTCCTCGCGAGGGATGCAAGTCTCTGCACGAATACTCAAGTGATTGATTCCACAAAACATTCAAAAACTCGCAAGAACACTTGAGAAGTGATTCCACATAATCTCTAATGAACAAATGTTAAAAAAAAATATTTCAACTTCAATGGTCTGTCTTTTACATTTGTATTAGTAAGCTTTTTATACCTCTTACAAGAAACTGTTTTCATAAATATATTTAAAACATAATATTTAAATTTAAATAAAAGAAATTAATTAGAATGATCAAAGAGCTAATCTTAAAGAATTTGTGGTTTGAATGGGAATAAATAAGTTGAGCTCGCATTTATGCTTTTGAAGACTAAAATCATGTAGCTTGAAAAGTGACTGAGGAGGTGGGCTTCCTTTATGAGAATTTTGTTGACTAAGAAGAAGAAATGTGAACAATGCATCTTGAGTAGAAATTTCCCGGAATAAAACCAAGTTGACCCATTTTGGGAGATGAGGCATAACTTGAGAATCTGGTGGGCATATATTCGGTTCTTGGGCTTGTTGGAAACAGGACAGACTCAATAGTAATCTACAAGTGGTCTCGGGTCGAGAAAGTTGCTGAGTTGGGCTGTGCAGCTGGATATCTGGCCTAGCCGCATACTTGACTCTGAAACAAGTCCACCTACTTGTAAGATCAATAAATTTCAAGTGTAAACCGGTATTGATGTGAATCCAATTCGAGGAGCTTATCTATTAGACCAAGATTTCATAACATTCCTCTTTGTAGCTTAGTTCCTTCTGGTCCGATCGCAATGCTCTATTATTCAATGTGCGTATGTCCTATTCAGTTAAGCTCGAGATCATCGGTTTTGTAAGCTGGATAATTTATTCATCAGAATCATGATTGGGCTAATTCAACTTTGTCGAGAATCCTTGTTGAGTCAATTATCTGGAACAGGTTGATTTATTGCTTAACTCCTTCTGGTTGGCTAGATATAATTTATCAAAGGCACATGTATCATGATCAAACCCTTAGTGGCTGGAGTGGCATGTTTAGTAGAGTTCTAGTTCAACTACTTGTTTGATGACATAAAAAACCCCCTCCTTTACATAGTCCATTAATAGCTGGAGAATGATGATGATTGTATCCAAGATGCTTTCATAATTAAGTTTCTTTTTAATTCTATTTTGGAGTTTAAAATTTTACATTTTTTCTTTCAATTATCTTTAGAGTTTGAGAGTTAAAGCAATGTTCAACACTAATATTAGGAGTTTCCTAGTTGGACTATAAGGTATTTTCTGTCTCTTCGCACATTTTTGTTTGAATATGATAAATTATCTGCAGATAACTCTTAATGAAAATTGGTTGCTGATATATTGATAACATGAGTTACCATTGATTTTCTTTGCATTATTAGCCTAATTCAAAAATGTCACCAATCATGAGTTATTTTCACTCTTTTGCATTAAATTTTGAGTTATAATATATTATAATTGCATTATAAATTTGACTTACCTTTTGTAAAATAACTAACTTAACTCCAATTCGTACATCATCAGAATTTTGATGAATTAAAGTTTGACTTACATTTTTCTTGTTAGAACTAACTTTTTTTTTCTTTTATTAATTTCAGTATAAGTTATTTTATATATACACCAAATATATATAATTTCTAAAACAATATGGTATTTTTATCATTATTAAAAAAATCTCAACTATTCTATTTTATTATTGTAGTATTTTCTCATAAAAATATTTGATTATTTATTTTATATATATATATATATATATATGTTTTGGAATGTATGTCATTTAATTTATTTCAATATTATGTTATAGATATATATGTATCTATATATATAAAGTTAACTATTCTTAAATTAGTATTAATTCATTTAATATATTTTCTAATTAAATTTATAATAAATATTATTACTTATTTAAATTTATATCATTTTAGTAATACATACTATAATTTCTACTGCAAAAAGTTACCAATCAAAGTTTTTATAAAAATACTACCTCATATTTATACAGCAAACTCACCATATAAATCTACTATTTTTACCATAAAAATTTACTACAAACTACATCGAATTATAACATCAACTGTAAATCAATTTTAAAATTACATGTCACTAGTGAGAGCCATTATCTGAACAAAGTGCTTGTCAATGATACTGATAGGATGTTGAGAAAGCAAAGACTCGAAGTGGAAGAGAGAGTTTGCTGTTGAAGAGTTTCTTTAGTATAAATAATACATTGTTGCTATTGTTTTGCGTATCCGATTTTGTAATCAAGAAATTGGATAGAAACTTTGTAATGGAGACTCAGTTAAGCTTATGAGAGGACTGAGAGTTCCATTGTTTGGGAGAGATAAGAGTAAGTGGAAGTTTGTTCTTATCAATTGGTGCGTTTGTGAGTGGCGATCGAATCAAACGCGATGGTAAAGGGAATTGGAGAAAGGACAAACGGAATCGATGAATTGAATGGCATATTGGCCGATTCATCTCGGGAGGAGACTGAGAGTTGCATTGTTTGAGAGAGATAAGAGTAATCGGAAGTTTGTTCTTATCAGATACCAAGAAGGAACTGCAACAAAAAAATATGAACTTGATCCTTTTTTTTTAATTGTGAAAATCTTTGCATAAACAGTTATTGTACTGTTCTACTAATCTCTTCTATATTTTGTATTTTGTGTCTCTGTGACAGTTTGTAAACTTTCCTTTTGAAATTTGGTGTGAAATTAGAACTTTAACATTGTTTGTTTTTTACTTTTTTCGGGTAGTTTTGGGGGTATTCGATCGAACCAAGCCCAAATATATTTCGACTCATATCAGTTCTCAATTACATTTTTCAAACCAAAAAGAAACCGAGACCTACCCGGACAGATTCGAGCTGAATTTTTTTCCGGTTCCTATATGATCCTAAAACTCTCTACCCGAACTATCCAAAACCCAAATGAACTTAACCGAACCTAACCGAGTACTTAGAATCTAACCGAATACTCATTCACCAGAAATTGAAAGTCCACTATCACTTGTCATTTCTAAAGCAGCAACAAAAACATAATAATAACTACACTAAAGTGATATCGAACATTGATTCCATTCATTATTCTCCTGCATAGTACTGTATTGGGTGCTCAAACATTTTTTTTTTATAAATAGATAAGTTTATCGAATACGCAGAAACATAAGCTTATCGAATACGCAGCTCATCAAATCATTTTCCCACGCAAATCGTTCTCAGATTTCAAATGACTAAAACATAAACTCAGCAATCCAAGTCCATCCATATGTTAGATACTTGATACTCAATTCTAAAAGAGAATTTCGCAAACACAGTATCATACTATTTATAAAGCACAGGCTGAAAACAGGTGAAATCAAAGGGCATTGTTTATGGAGGTACTGATAGCCAACGAGAATAAACGATCTAAATTCGGTAAAAAAAAAAACAAATTTGTCATAAGATACATAAGTTAATAGGGCTTGAATACTAACGAACAGAAACCATTGCAGGTATGGTTACTAGAGCTCATGAATAAACATACCAACTCGCTCCCACGACGAAAGAATCATGTAAGAAGACTTCTTGCTAGATGCTCCCGAGCTGTTGCCAATGCTTGAGTTAATGTCTACAGTTCAGCACACACAAATTGGTCAAATGCATATTATTACTAAAAAGGACTATCGCTTTTGCTCAAAGGTAGTCTTATATTGCATCTCACCTGTTCAGAGAGTGAACCACTAGCTTCTGCGCTCTGCATTGCTACTTTCCCCGCAATAATATTGGCATCGGTTTCCAGTACCATCCTGGAAATGTTATATAAGCGCACATAAATATCAATGGTGATAAGATTCAAAACCACTAAGCGCTTCTTCTCAATTCACCGAAGCATTACACTATAGAAGATCATTCACTAACGAGACAAGTTTCAAACCCTCAACATGTTCCCCACTAACAAATTCTCTTAGGTGTCCTTTAAACCTTCAGTGGTATTAAATGGCATAGCTACTCTTTCCTAGGCTAGATACAATAGTCCTATGCTAAGACTTAACAAGAACATCTTATCACGCGGCTTGGAGTTGTTCAGTCATGATTTCGAACGATAAGCTCTTATGGTCCCTACTAATCTTCTATCTGTACCCACCCTTGTTTAAGACTTGCAGAGAACTATTGCGCAATGCTAAAATGTTAACACAGTAATAAAAATTGTAGAATAGGATCGTAGTATACCCCTGATCAACCATCTCATCAAGGCACAAAAAGATGAGATCCAAGTTTTCAAGGGCTTCCATCTTTTCAACATTGTTCCTGTAAGGGAGTAAGGAAGTTAAAGATGGCTATTGCATATATCTGTGATCAAGAAAAGGCACAGTCATTTTTTGAGCTGAGCTAAATTACCTCAGAAGTAATGCAACAGCATCAAAAAAGCCTTGAAGAACTGATGATAAGATGAGCTCGTTTTCATCTTCCCCTCCTGTAACAAAGAAGTGAAGGTCCTGGGCAAACTTATAGACAATAATGTTATTCTCCAACAGCGTGATCTCCGCTGCAAAAAGTAACAGTAGAAAGAAGGTTATCAACACCAAAAAGTGACTGGAAACAAATAAAATCTGAAGCGTTATAACTCATATATGATATAAACATACAGAGAACTACCAACATGCATGCTGAATTATTTGGTCTTACCTTCTGTGCGAGCATTGGTCTTAGAGGTCTTTGAGAAGACGTATTTTTCAAAAGATAACTTGGCAGCATTAGTTGCCCAATCATCTGAGTAATACTTGACAGCCACACGCTTTCCTTCAGAGTCTAAAAGAAGAATGTTCTTTACCAAAGGACAAGAATCCTGTTCATTGAAATTGGACAGTCAGGTGTACGTGTTACGAGAGAAGCAGAAGCAGGAATCCATAAAAAGATTATATCCAGTCCAACGACCACCAATCTATACAGGGTTCAAAGCCTATGTCCATTGGAATATTTATAGTGGCCAATCAAATAAAAAAGCTATGTCCGCTACTAATAATCTATGGCTTCACCAAATGGGCCATTCAAATCGGCAGTGCTAATAAATGAATTTCCTATGAAGACTTAGAACAAAAAAATGATACAAACTTTAGTTAAAATCAACCTGACCACATGGACGACATACACAAATATGATAAAATAGACGAATTGGCATCTCCAGCAGATGGAATCCAAAATAATTTGTATCAACAAACATATGATGAGAAGATTAATGGCACAAAAGTAGATCCAAAAGCAATTGGAACTTTCTCAGCAGTAAAAAAGGATTTCTCAAGATATCTAACAGAACTTATGTTTCAAAGACTGTAATAAAGCTTAATCCTGATTGCAGATTGAATCTCCGATTAGTCACAGTTCTCAAAAATAATATAAGCCAGTAAACAAAAGAAGCAAAAAAAAAAAGCAATCTTGAATCTTGATATAGACAAAGAAAGGAGTACATCACTAAGAACATATATGATTGCTTCTCAACTCAAGGAAACTTATTGAAAGCTCCACCGCATCACAATGCAAAGAATCGCATAAGTGTAGCAAACAATATAGATCACAACTCTATTTGTTGCTTATGTATACAGGTGAACATTATCCCAAGTACCGAAGCAAACAAATACAGCCAAAATATATGATTCTTACATAAAACAGAATGAGATAAGAGATGTACTTACATTAGCCCCTGACATTGTTGTTGAACCAAGTTATACCTGAAATAGGGATAAGTTAAGTGTTATACAAATATGAAAAAAACACACAAAAACCCCCAAACTAAATAACTAATCACTTTGGTCTTAGAAACAAGATCACCCAATGAATTCACCAAACAACTTTGGTTTGTGTTTTGTGAACAGATACACCATGATCTAAAAAGACATGGTTTCAACACCACTACGACCAAAACAACTCCAAAACTAGTCACATTTCCTTAGCACCACTCTCTAATACCATATTTTGATTTCCTAATCCCAAACTTTACCATCAGATCTCTACTAAGCGGTGATTTGCAATAAAACGATTGTCAGACTTTAAGCAAAGATCTAAGAAAAAAATGATACATCCAAGTGCATACAAACAATTAAACCATCAAACTGACAAATTTATATATCTGGTATATACTCAAATTATAGAATCAGTAGAAACCAAATCTTATATATCATCGACCAACAATGCTCTCTAATCGCAGAAACTACGAATTGCTTACAAATTTTAACCAGATCTCCAGAAAATTTATGATGGATGCTCCATCGATCTGATGAAATCAGAGCATAGAGTATAAGATTCTAGCTTCCAATAAATGGAATTAAAACGGAAACGAAACAGAGAACAAAGGGAAAGACTTCCAATTTAATCTCGAGAAAAGTTTACCTGAAAGATGGCTTCGGAGCTGAAGATGACTGCTTGAGCTGATGGAACTATGGAAAAATAAACGCGTCTGTATAATTTTATTTAGAATTTTGCAAAAATTTAGGGTGGAATATCGTAAATAAATAATCTATTACTAATAAAAATTGATGTTAAATGTTTCTCAAAATGTCCACATAGGATTTAAAGATTCAATTCTATTGGTACACATTATTATTATTTTTAGTTAATTATATATTATATATTAAAATTAATTAATTCGTTTTAATTGTTATAATGAAAATTTCTAAATTTTAGTTAATTTTGTTTTTGTTGTTATTAGGAAAGTTTCTAAATTTTAAGTTAGTTATTAATAAAAAAGAGTTTTGAAAATAGATCTTATTTTTCTATTAACAATAAAAAGGTAAATTAACATATAAATAGATTATGAAAAAAAATCATATATATTGAACAAAATTATTAGAAACTGTATTTAAAACCATAATTAAATTATTTTAAAATTTTAATCACTACAAACAATTAAAATATGAACTTCTAACTTAAAATATATTAGTTGTGGTCCGTGTTGATGTCTTAGGCCAATGAGAACGTCCACATAGGACACATATACTTAATATGATTAGTCTATATCAACGTTTTTCATTAAACATAAAAAATATTATTAATAATTTAAATAAATTAAAACATACAAAAATATAAAATTATCACAATAGAATGGAAAATTACGATAATTTTTTTAACTAAATAAAATAAATTTATGTCAAAAGTCTAAATCTATTATGAAAATAAAATAGAAACTCATTGTCACAAAAACTAAACTAACAAAAACAAATATGTAAATCAATAACGAAAAATTTAAATTAAAAAAAATAGCATATATTTTTTAAATGAGTAATTTATTTAGAAAAAATATTAAGATTAAATTTTCATATAAGTATATAAAATTTTTATTTAAAAAAATCAATACTACCAAAAAAACATTCATCTTAAATTATCAAAAAAGAAAGTCAACTAAAACTTATAATTTTTGGAGAAATATTTCAAAAATTAACACACAAAATCTTAACAAACCAAAAATGATACTTATGCTAATTACTGAAGAAAGCAATATAAAAAAATGGTTAACTAAGAAAAACCAAAACATAAATTATTTCTTACAACATGTCAATACAATTAAAATGAAAGTCCATATCGAGAAAGTTAAATTAACAAAAGGAGGATATTAACTTAATATCTATGTTATTTATTTAACAAAATCAATATAAACATAATAAGCAAGAGAATAAAAAAACTTAAATAATACTAAAAAACTTAACTAACAAAAATAATATAAATATTTAAGCTAATTATTTAATAAATCAATATTAAGAAATTAATTAACTAAAAAACTAAAACAAAAAATTGAGTTTTACAAAATATTATTTTTTAAAAAACACTTAAAAATATATTGACTTGATATCTGACTAACTACTTAAAAAATTTATATAAAAATATTTAACTAACAAAAAATTTATGTCTTCAAAATATCAATATTTTTTTTAAAATGGTGTGTTAAAATAAAATAAAAATCAATATCAAGAGAGATAAATTATCAAAGGAAAAAGTCGTATAAAGTAAAATTAGCTTGATATTTAGGCTAACTGCCAAACAAATATTAACTAAAAAAACAAATGATGGTATAAGCTTTTGAGAGAAGTTCACTTAAAATTTAGAATAACCAGTTATAGCATGTCAAAATAGTATTTTAATTAATTTAAAAAGTAAATTTAACAAAGAAAAATCATTTATATAAAAGATATTAGATTAATATATATGCTACCTATTTGAAAAATCAATAACAAAAGAGATTAATTAAAAATATATATGTTTTAAGTATATCAAACCTGCAGAAAATTAGATAATTAAAATAAAATATAAAATTACCATCAAAGATATTTAAAATAACAAAAAAAAGATCTAAGAAGAAAATTAGTTTGAAATATAGTTCCAAAAACATTCATGATTTCTAAAATATTGGTGTTGAATAACCATATAATTTTTAATAGGTTATACAAGTTTCTAAATCAAACATATTATTTAAATTTACAAAGACTAATACCTTGGTTGCGTCTGGTTGAAAAATTAACAAAGTAAAATACAACACAAGTAACTTTACATTCAAAATATAATAAGTAATAAAGTCTGATTTTTATACATATTTACTGCTTATAACTTAGTCAACATGAGCAACATCCTCTAAAATTTTATTTGAATAATATAATATGACAAAGTTATGAATCGAATTCAAATGAGAATATATGAAGATAAAATATTCAAATAAAAACATGAATAAACACACACACACACAAAAACAGTGATAATGTGAAGTCTCAACATCATCTTACATGTTTAAAAACAAATATTAGCAAATAGTTGACTGCAAATAAAACAGATCTTATAAACTAAATAGAGATATAACCTAAAATTCGTAGAAGATCTTGTGGAGAAGCAAAATGCAGCTTTACACGATTAATATATCTTACTAACAAAAATAAATCTGAATTAATATATATCATATATTATATATGTATATGTACACAATATTAGTGAGATATTTAGTAAAAAAACTAAATATTTAACCATATAAACTTTTTTTTAAAAAGGACCATAGAAATCTTAAGGATACAAAACAAAACACCAAAAATTTAGTAAGGAAATCATTTTCTAAATCAAACATATGCACATCAAAGTTGGATAATTCGTTAGGTGTCATTACTATGATTTTACTTAATACGATTTATAATTTTATAAACAAAAATAGAAAATACTACATATTATGTTTTAATTTTTTATATAAAATAAAATTTCTATAAATATATTATAGTTTTGATAATTAAAAGATATTAGCCAAAAAATTAAACCAAATTATTAATACAGACTCGCGCGTAGCGCGAATTAAAAGCCTACTAAATATAATAATTAGGTATGACAAAAAAAAATAGAGTAAAATAAAACTAATTTTATTATATCTAAAAGCACCTTTATCGGTGACTAAAAAAACGTAGTACCAAAAAAAATGCATTAGGATTTGCTACGATGAAATAATTTCGGACTAAATTTTGATTTAATATAACAGTCTTGACTTAACAAAGATTTAATTCTTTAAACAAAATTTAAGATAATATAAAACAATCAAAACTAAATACATAAGATAATAATTAACTTCTTTCAAAACTTAAATCACACTATCTGGTGTGAGAAAAATTAAAAGCAATTAATCAAATTGAAAGAATCTATATTATTATTTGCGAAGTCAGAAATGCACCATAGCTCTTCTTAAGGGGGTTAGCGCTTTCTGCCCGTAGTGCAAATATTCCGAGTTAAATTAAGTCGATTGGTTTGGTTTGGTTCTTATTGATAAATCGATTGGTATAGTAATCTAATCTTTAAACCGTTTCTCATATGATTTTTTGTTGGGCTTTTTGA